TTGGGCTCCCCGAGGTACGTTCGCCTCAAACCCCACAGTGTTGTGACATTGAAAAAAAAAAAAAAATCGAAATGACCTACAAAATAGCAAACGAAAATGCTTATTTTGGCTGGTTGATTTTTTTTTTTCGTTTTTAATTAAAAAAAATATTATTCCTGAAAAAACAAATTTGAAAAAATTATAGGGAGTTACCCTTCGATGTCCCCCACCCTCTTATAAGAAAAAAAAGGGGTAACTTCGGCGCAGTCACGAAAACAGTTTGTAATTGCACTTCAGGCAACCCCGCGAATACAACACACCCCCACGCGACCCCACCGGACCCGAAACGTAGGTCATATACATTCAGCATTACCGGCCCTTTTGCCTCAAGTGCAATTACAAACTCAAACCCTGACTGCGCCGTAGTTTTCTCAAAAAAAAACATACCCCCCCAGCCAAAAAAATAAAAATAAAAAAATATCACTCTCCGTGAACTCCATGAACTCCCATGTCGTGAACTCCGTGAACTCCATGACCGGTCTACGTTCACAGACCCCGTGAACGGTGAACGGGGGTACGGCACTGCTCGGAGGGCATAGTAATTTGGAGGATTCGGCCTTCATGACACTTATCCTCAGGGATGAAATTTGGAAAAAAAAAGTGAAAACACTCTTGAGGACATATCCTTGGGCTCCGAGGATTTCCCAGCCATTTCGTCCTCGGCTCCAAAGGACTTCACGAGGTCACTGGAGCCCGAGGATCTGCGATTGATGGGGTGTCAGCATCCATCATCAAAGGAAAAATTGAGTCCAAATTGAGTCCGTAGATGGTGCAGTCGTCGTCCAGTGGCCGCATGACGGACCTCCTGGCCTTTCTTAATCATGGACGTCCTGCAACTGGGTCCGGAGTGTACCATTGACGGCGATTCTCGGTGTGGCGCGTGGGCATCCCTGGGCGGCTCTTCTGGGGTTGGGTTCGGCCCGTAGGCATGTGATGAACTATTTTCTGTAACCGCACGACTTTCTGCGTGATGCCACTGATCTCTTCTTCTAGGACCCTCTCATCCGGTGAGTGAACGTAGGAGAAACCAGCGAGGAAGTTGAAGAAGAGGAAGAAGAAGCAGCCGAGGAAGAGATCCAAGAGGACGATCCTCTTCAGTACACGGAAGGAGAGGAAACGCCTGAGAAGGAAGAATCGGAGGCTGGGTCGGACGATCCTGATTATCACGAGTTAGAGAATGTCGAGTTGCAAGAGGCCAGCTCGGAACGCGAGGAGTCTAAGGAGGAAGAGGGCGGATCGAGTGAGTCGAGCGGTTCTGCCGAACTAAGCAGGGAAGAGAGAGAGGTTGTGGCTCAAAGAAGACGGGCAATGGCAGAAGGCAAGTGGTCAATCCAAGGATCAGGAGGGCCGTCGCCGCAACTGCTGCAGGGCAATCCGGCGCTTAATCCAGAGTCGCGCCACAGTAAGAGATCGAGAGAAATGGAGGCGCCATAGCAGAGGGATCGGGAAGCCGACGCCGCCGAACAAGTGAATCCCCGGCTCAATCCTCTCCCCGGCCCAGCCTTCGCCTACGTTAAGATGGGGGCGCTCGGGCTTCGTCCCCGGTCATTATCCCGCCGTCCCCGTAACTTCCTCACCCTTTAGCAGCTAATAGGCCGACCCCCATTCCCTGACGGATGGCGCCCCTTCCTGCCTTCCCTCTTCCACCATCTCTACTCCATTCGCCTCCTGATCACTATCTTCCCACATGCTACCACTCGCTCGCTTGTCACCCTTTCCCCCTCCACGTCCTTCTCTTTAGCACAGATTGGCAGGAATTTAATAATATAGAGCTTTATTGCATGATCGCGGGCACAATCCTCGCGTGCGAAGACTATGAGGATCTTCGCGTTGCCATCCGTCGCATCCTCTACACTCTCTACCCCGATTAACTCGCCTCCCTCCATCACCAGCATCGACACCCACGA